TTGCCTCAGTGGTGATTGGACTGTGATTTTCTGCCTGTCTGAGGAGGTGTGATTTAGTCTCAGCTGCTGAATAGCTTTGCTAATTGCAAGGGAGGAGCCTGCACTCCTGGCAGACAATCAGTAGATTGCTGTCCTTAAGCACTTCTGTAGGTTGGAAGCGTCAGGCAAACGAAGGCTAGGGCGAACAAAGGCAACAGGGCAACTTTTTCAAGCCCGACTTCGTCAAGCTAAGACTTCTCGAACGTGTAGTTACCGAATTTTTATTTGTCAAACCATGTGTTTGCATCCGATTTCGGTCCGTTTCTCTGCTCGGTGGTCACGTAGACATTGGGCCACTCCCAGGTGCCGTGACCCCACTAACCTCATTTATCCTACTCTCTCAGCTCATGTTGAGCAAGTGGTGGCGGGGGGGCTCTGGAATTGCCAGTCGGCAGTGCCGAAAGCTGAGTTCACCTCAGGCTACGCTTCCTTGCTCTCTCTCAGCTTTCTTGCTCTAACTGAGACCTGAATCACGCCAGAAAATACCACCACACCCGCAGCTCTGTCATATGTGTACTCGTTCTCTCACACTCCCAGAGCTGCGAGGCGGGGTGGTGGTACTGGCTTGCTACTCTCCCCAAAATGGAAATACACTCTTGTCTCAGTTCCTCAGTTCTCCCCGTCCTCTTTCGAATTTCATGCAGTTACTGTCACTTATCCAGTCAAGCTCTCCATTGCTGTTGTGTATCGCCCACCGGGGCCTCTTGGTGAGTTCTTGGAAGATCTCGACACATTAGTCTCACACTTCCATGACGATGGCTCAGCACTCATCCTGCTCGGAGACTTTAACATCCAGACTGATAAGTTAGAACCTCTTCTTTCCTTCCTCTCCTCCTTTGACCTTTACCACTCCTCTTCTCCTCCTACCCACAAGGCCGGCAACCAGCTGGATCTTATCTTCAGTAGACACTGTTCTACTGCTAACCTCTCTGTCACTCCCCTCCAGCTCTCTGACCACTATTTCATGTCTTACTCCCTCTCCGTCTCCTCTCCCCCCATACTTCCTCCACCTACCCACATGGTTTCTACCCGTAGTCATCTTCGATCCCTCTCCCCGCTGATCTTTCTTCTTCTGTTACCTCTGCTCTCTCTGACCCAGAATCCTTCTCTCTCCTATCCCCTGATACTGCTACTGACCTTCTCCTCTCCACCCTTTCCTCTTCTTTGGACAACCTCTGTCCCTTCACCTCCAGGCCTGCACGGCCAACCCCACCTGCCCATGGCTGTCGGACTCACTGCGTACTGACAGACGGAGCCTAAGAGAGGCTGAGTGGAGAAAAGGCAAACTCCTGGGGGACCTTCTTAACTTCCAAGCTCTTCTTTCCACTTTCTCCTCCTCTCTATCTACTGCTAAAGCTGCTTTCTTCCACTCCAAAATCCTAACCTCTGCTTCCAATCCTAAAAAACTCTTCAAAACGTTCTCTTCACTTCTCCAAACTCCTCCTCCTACTTCCTCCCTTCTCCCTGACGATTTCACCAACTTCTTTGACAAGAAGGTAAACGATATCAGGTCCTCCTTCTCTCAGCCCCCTGGTCCCTGTCCATCCTCTCCCTCAGTCTCTCAGTGTCCCTGTCCACCATCTCCAGCTCTTCCCCCACAGCTCTCCCTCCCCTCTCCATGCCCCATCTTACCTTGCTCCCCTCAAATCATATTGTGCTATGATTTGGGAGAGGTTTAAACTTTCAGCTGCATCATTCAAAAGAGATAATCATGCTTTCAGTGCTTTTTTCTTTCAGGCTAACCTGAAACCTTTCAATTTGAGCTGTGTGCCATCTTCATTTACTCTTAACCAGTAACATATACACTGATATTTACACATGTGAACAAATCGCACAAGTGTTACCTTTATTATAACATCAAAATTATTAAAATAGACCTTGCAGTTAGAGAAATACACAATTTTTAGTATGGGTATGCAATTTTCGAGCAGAGGCCTAAAAATAGGGCTAGGGCACTGAGTGAGTTGAGATTGAATTTAATGTCAAAAGGCATACCCACATTTGCACCCACATCTTTTTCCCTGCTTAATCTCAAATCTTCCAAACAGGGTAGTTGTACATCTCAAATAAGCCAACAGAACTTGGAAGCTCCACCTTTTTTTCCTGAATTCTAGAGGGTCAGAATTGTTTTTCTCATCGTTCAAAATACAGTGCCTGATCTGAAAAATTCAAAAATCCTCTTGACTAAGATTAGAATCACTCTTAATTTCATCTCATTCCATTTTCCCCTATTCACCAAGAAGATGGATTCCAGATCCAACCAATTTCTCCCACGTGATAGTTTTCCTGCCTATCAATATTTTTTTGTTATACCAGATATAGGCTTTAGGGTAAAGATATGGACAATATTTCTATCAAGTCTTTTTAACAAAACAGTACTGGATTCTCAAAAGGTACCGGTTTTGGTACCTCCAAAGAAGTTTGGGCTATAATTCTTACCCAGGACGGCACCCGATTGAGGGCATTTTTACTTTAGATAACTGGGAAAGTGAAAATGCATATTGGTACCAGACAGCGATAGACCTCTACTTTTGTACAAATGGAAAAGTTTAAGGTAGCATATATAAAATACAAAGAACCATGGGAGAGATGATCATCTTAACTGTCTCCCCCGATTACCCCTAACATATATAAATATTGTACAAAAGTGAACATTATGTCCATCAGTAGCAGCCTCGCCCCATGTAGCTGAGAATCGGCTCGTCCAGCTGCTCGCTACATCTGTTCATACAGCCAATCGCCAAAAGAAGCAGTCAGGGCAGAAGAGAACAGATTTCGACATGACACCGGTGCGCAAGACGAAATGGCATCAGACAGAACTGTCAAGTCGTTTCCATTAAGAGCGGGCTCACTCAAAGGTCTGGACCCAGGCAGTAAGAAAAAGTCACGGTATGGCAAAATGTAAAAGTAGAAATACACCCCGAGTACACACCAAGCACTGAATGTAACTAAGTGCATTTACTCAAGTAGCTTACTGTGCTGAAGTCAGATTTTGAGGAAGCCTACTTCTAGCCTACTCTATACGTCTACTCGCGCCGCATATTCACGTCCATCGCGCCACCGGTCAAAACGCTGGGGACCAAGTGTTCATTCGCGTGAATCGCGCCAATCGCGCTGGACGCCCCACTATTAATTTCTCCTCCATTGTTTCTGATTCAGCAACGGCAGGACATCGCTGATGACAGGGGGAGCAACTCAACGCTGATAGGCTATCGCGCTGGGGCGTAATGCGAATATTTCGCAGAAGTTGAAAAATTTCAACTCGCGCGTCGGGGCGATTTGGCGTTTGACGCGGATTCGCGTCCATTGCGCCGCAAATTCACGTCCATCGCGACGCGCCATCGCAGATTCGAGCCGCGACAGTCTCATCGCGTCTGTGCATAGACTTTGTATGTAATCTACTAGTGCGAATAATTCGCGACGTGTTTGGTGTGAACGCAGCATAAGCCGAGGCCTTGAAGTGAGGCCCAGACCTGTTGCGCTCTGTAGCAGTCTATGAACAGGTGATTTTGTGTTTTGTCCTCGTTACAATGCATCATGTTTTCCCAATTTCTTTCACTACTTTTACTGTCACAGAATGTTAAACCCAGTATTTTTATTTCTGGTTTGACTTTAATGTTAATGTTACATTGATGGTGTTCATCCCCGATCCAAACTCCCTCTGTTTTGTTGTGGTTTAGTTTAGCTCCAGATGCGAGTTTGTACAGAGATAGGTTGTTAGTTAAAGCATCCATCTCCAACTGGTTTTTTATGATGACAGTAATGTCATCAGCTTATGTGATGGCTGTAACTTTGGGCATATGACCTACACTTAAACCTGAGATTAGATGGTCAGAGTTTATTTTTTTAATTAGAGGATTTATGGCGAGGATGTATAACGCAGCACTTAGCGGACAGCCCTGCTTCACTCCTCTCTCTACTTGAACGGTTTCAGTTAAAACCCCATTTACATTTACACAGATGTTGGATTTAACATACAGACATCTCACCATGTGAAGACTGGACTGGAATAAAAGCATCGGGGAAGCCGTATGACTTCATCACAGCCCAGAGGTAATCTCTGAGATGTAATCAAAGGCCTTCTTCTGATCAAGCCCAACAACATAGAAACCTTTTTTATCAGGATCATGTAAAAGTTCTCCTAGCATGCACAAGTTGTCCCACATCAGTCGGCCTTTAATTGCACACGTTTGTTCTTTATCTATAATTTTGTCTAATATTTTGTTTAATCTATTCATAATTATTTTAGCAAGAATCTTATAGTCTGTATTCATAATAGATGTCTGTAGTTATCCAAATCAGCGTCATCACATTTTTTGAACAATAAACATAAAACACCTTGATAAAAGGAGTCTCCCATACTGCCGCTGTTTATACCTTCATTGTACACAGCAGTGAGGAGGTTTAAAACATCTTCGTTATATAATAGATAAAACTCAGTGGGCAGACCGTCAGGACCAGGACCTTTACTGATGTTAAGTTGTTGGATGGCCCACATCACTTCCTCTCTTCTTATGTCTCCACTAAGATGAGTGAAGTCTGATTCGTTGTATGAGGGCATTGTTTCCAACAGAATATTGACACAGCCTACATGTCTATTCTCTTATATGCATTGACACATAGATTTCTGATTACTTCCATTTTTTCCTTTTCACAGTAGAAAGTATCACCTTCATGGTTTTTTATACATTTAAAAAATCTATCTTGAATTTGTTTTTGACTTGATTTCAGAGCGCGAGTTAGATTCCCTCTGCTATCCGAGTCTGACTGTTTATAAACATTATATAATAACTCATGATTGAAGCTGTTTATTTGTTTCTTAATACTTATCATGGTTTCCTCATCTACTGTAGTTTTTTGTTTCTTCTGTTTCAGACTAATGTATTGCTTCATTAATTCATCATAATATATATTTTTTGCTCTATTTAATTCTCTGCATTTGAATTTGAAGAAATCTTTCACTCTATATTTTAATATTTCCCATAATTTAATATTAGATTTGGTTAGAACTTTGAATTGTGTTATTTTTTGTATTTCCTTTTTTAGCTCCTTTAATAAATCTGTATTTTTTAGGCATTGAGTGTTTAGTTTCCAGAAGCCTCTGCTAGCTGAGGTCCCAGAAGCCTCCTCCTTTACTGCACTCCATCCATCTTCGTGCGTTTGGAATGAAAGGGGTTAAATCACGTGTGTAGGTTTTGGGAGCTCATAAGAAGTGTCGCTAGGAGGACAGAGACGTCATTGCGCTACACAGCGTCCCGTTCCGCTCACACCGGTACTCTTGCGTCCTGCTCCCGTGAGAGAACACGATGCGGACTGTGTCCGTCCTGGTTTGCGGCATCTTGCCTTTGCACCTTTTCCTCTGTGTTCATTCTCTGCCGGTCCGCGACCGGCCCGCCAGCAGGTCCAAGCAGCCACAGGTGAGTCAAACACGGACACCTGAGCATTACGCAGAGATAGAGAGTTGGACAGGGAACTTTATGCATGTGAAGATCACACAATGCTGAGCAGGCAGGGACAAAAGAGGAGGTAGTGTGTGTGGGTGTGTGCGCGTGTGTGTGCGCATGTGTGTGTGAGACAAGAGAGATGGAGTTCAAGAAAAGAATTGCGTATCGGTGAATGTTTTTCATGTAATTTACTGTCAGTAAAGCCAGCTAAAAGCAGCTGTATGTTTCATGACATATTTCTTCATATATATAAGTGGTTGAAGATGAAGTGAAGCGAAATTGTTATATTGAAAGAGCTGCAAACTCCTGTCACTTTCATACAAGGCTCCCTGCCAGCTTTTAGCTCAACAAGAGGTCTGCTATCTATATGAACTGCTTTTGTTCACCAACATGAAATATCTGATATGTAAAATGATTATGAACTCTGGGAAACTCATTGGTCCTGTAGTTGTTATACATGTTTAATCCATTTGAGGATGAGTGTGGCTGAGATACTGTATTTTATTAATGGAAAGGGATTTTAGTTATAGAATCAAAACGTCCTTTTCATGAAGTAAAAAATAATGAGGCATCATGCATGTTATGTCATTGTACTGTATGCCCAGACAGAACATCTGCAGGCCTGCTTTGCGGTATGGCTGTCAACAGCGTGAGTGAGAGAGTCAGATTAAGCAGGCAGAGGCAAGTCATCTGGCAACTGGTGGTGGTTAAAAAACTCTGCTTGTTTGCTGACTCGGACCAACAGGAGATCATAGCAGATACTTAGCGAGAGACACGTCAGGCAAACAGACAGCCGGCGACTGGTGCATCATGCGGAGTGTCTGCAGAAAACAACCAGCCCAGCCAAACAGGACCATAATACAACAGTATCAAACATTGCTATTCATTACATAATCCTTTGACTTTATTAGCCAATCTTCCTAACATGCAGTGAAACCCTGACAACATGTGTGGGCATTAAGCCACCCCATAAAACACCTTTCTTTTCATTTTATTCGATTACGTTTTGGCCATTTAGCCTTTAATATTGACAGGATAGATAGACTGGAAAGACAGAGAGGGTCACAGGTCGGATTCAAACCCGGTAAATGGTGCGGCCGCTCTACCAGCGGAGCTACCTGGCACCGCCACAAAACATGTCTTGATTGACAGTGAATGACTTCTGTTCACTTTAGTTTGCCCTACATGAGTTAGTTCATCCGCTACTCAACATTCAGCGCTGGAAAGTGACTAAGCACATTATTCAAGTACTGCACTAATGAACAATTTTGAAGTCCTTGAACTTTACTTGGGTATTTCCATTTTCTGCTACTGCTACTTCTACTCCACTACGTTTCAGTTGGAAATACTATACTCTTTACTCTGTTAATATCATTATAAAGCTATAATTATCAGACGCGATAGCGTGTGCATTTTTCTCGCCTTATGAGTCTGTATGTGTGTGTGTTATCATGGTGTTTGTACGTCTGACAGATTTTGTCATTGCGATATTGTCACAACCGTGCAAACTTTTCAGGTGTAGTTGAGATCAAAGTTTATTTAGCTAATTTAATCTTAAAGTTACTTTGATGTCTCAGTATCAGAGAAGATGGTCTATTTCTATATAGTTATTCTTCATGCTCGTCATCGGAGCCACCGATTCAGATTCTGATGAAATCATGGAGAAACTCCTTCAGCTCAAACTCCAGTAGGGCCTCCAGCAGAGACCAGTCCACCGTGGACAGACCCAGATCTTCCAGCAGTGACCGGTCCACCGTGGACAGACCCAGATCTTCCAGCAGTGACCGGTCCACCGTGGACAGACCCAGGTCCTCCAGCAGAGACAGGTCCACCGTGGACAGACCCAGATCCTCCACCAGAGACCGGTCCACCGTGGACAGACCCAGATCCTCCAGCAGAGACCGGTCCACCGTGGACAGACCCAGATCTGGATTTTATGCCGCCTATGACCTGCAGGCGGGAGGCGGCGAGCTCAACACCCAAGAGCAGACCTTATTGTTGCTGCTTTGCAGGTCCCAGATTTTCAATTTTTTTCTATCATATCATTGCCAACTGAATATTTTCAGTTTTTGGACTGTTTATCAGACGAGACGAGACATTTGAAGATGTCACCTTGGGCTCTGAGAAACTATGGATGTTATTCATAATTTTTTAACAAACAACTAATCGATTAGATGAAAAAATAATCAACACATTAATTGGTAATGAAAATAATCATCAGTTGCCCGCACACCTATATGAAGGAAGAGCTGGCTCTTCATGGTATGTGGTGTGCAGAGCATAATGAAGGTGTGCCGAAAGTTCTACTTTGTTGACCTTTGACCCAAGCTGTGCTTACCTCTATGGGCGCAGCCAATAACTGTTTATTACAGTGCCACTGGGAGTTTTGGCATGTTTAATACTGCTGTGAGCAGCACAAAACTATATGATGTGCCAATATTGTGTTCAATACCTGTTTCCACTTACCCCCACTGTTGGAATCTAAATGCGGGACTTGCACTTTAAGTATTTTTACATTGTGGTAATTGTACTTTTACTTAAGTGAAGGATGTAATACTTCTTCGACCACTGTCAACAGTATTTCACAAGTGTATGTTATACAGGTGGGAGACTGACCATCTGGTGACCTGGTGCGGTCTGAACAACTTGGAGCTCAACACTCTAAAGACAGTGGAGATGGTTGTGGATTTCAGGAAGAATGCAGCCCCACCAGCCCCTATCACCCTGTGTGACTCCCCCGTCGACGCGGTGGAGTCCTTCCACTTCCTGGGCTCCATCATATCCCAGGACCTCAAGTGGGAGCTGAACATCGGCTCCATCACCAAGAAGGCTCAGCAGAGGATGTACTTCCTGAGGCAGCTGAAGAAATTCAACCTGCCAAAGACAATGATGGTGCACTTCTACACATGTTGAGTCCATCGTTGAGTCCATCCTCTGCTCCTCCATCACAGTCTGGTACGCTGCAGCCACTGCCAAGGACAAAGGCAGGCTGCAGCGCATCATTCGCTCTGCTGAGAGGGTGATTGGCTGCAATCTGCCGTCCTCCAAGACTTGTTCGCTTCAAGGACCCTGAAGCGAGCAAGAAAGATTGTAGCCGACCCCTCTCACCCTGGACAAAAACTGTTCATGCCCCTTCCATCTGACAGGAGGCTGCGGTCCATCAGGACCAAGACCTCACGACACATGAACAGTTTCCTCCCATCCGCAGTCGGGCTCATTAACAGAGCCCGGGTCCCCCACTGACTCTGTCATCCCCAGGACAATTTCCTACTGGTCACTCCTCCGCACATCCCTTCTAGGTTATTATTTAAATACACTCGACACTTTTACACTACACTTACATCTCACTTGTTTATAGTCCTGTTATCTGTTCGTTTGTGCACTTTATTTTATATTTTACTTTATTTTATATCTTTCTGTAAATTTTAATGTTTCTACTTTGCACTGTGTTGATGTTGATTGTTAAATGTTATGCACCTCCTGTCATGTCAAATTCCTTGTATGTTCAACATACCATGGCAATAAACGGTTCTGATTCAGATGTAGAAAAAAATGCACCAATACTGACCGGATATTGAGCCGATACTGACTAAATAGCTGGATGGGGTATCTGTGACAGTGGGGCCGATCTATTCTATTCAATTCAATTCTATGTTTAAGTTTTGCAGCAGCATTACAAATGTTTATACTTGTAATTGCTGGTGTATGATAGGTAGGGTTGAGTACCGAAAACCGGTGCTAATATGGCACCGGTTCCTATATATAAAAAAAACCGAGAACGAGATCTGTCAAATGGCTGGCAGGCTGCTGACTTCCTCCATCGACATCGTACTTAGCGCTTTAGTCATCGTAGTAATGTCAGATCAGCATCTTTGAAAACCTTTCATAACACACTCCCTGTGTAATATGGCAGACGACCTGACTGAACAGGGAATTTCCAGATATCTGCCTACTGTGTGTGATGCAGTTTTGCTGAGGTTTTCAGAATAGACTTGTGTGTGTTTGTGCGGTGCACATTTTTTCAGTCATGTGCGTGTTCTTACCTGCATGCACACGTTGTAACAGATGTAACCAATGCCACCTATTAGATGAAACAATGCTCCTCTGTGAAGATGGGCTCGCCACTTCATTTGGGTTGAAGCTTGGGCTTCTCTGGGGCGGGATGCAGCCACACAGGGTCCTGTGGTGACATGTTAGCTCCATCTCCAGGATTCCCCCAAGATACACAAAGCTTTGTTTCAATAGCATGTGAGTTTGTGTTTATATTTTATGAAAACTTGCTTCTTGCCCAGACACCTTCCATCGTTCTGTCACTCACTGAGCTGCCTGTCAGCTCTGCTTGGACTGTGGCCTCAATTTTATGAAAGTGGTTAAAACCTCTTCAACCCTGATTCCAGTATGTCGTGCAGACATTGTTGAAAACTTCCATGAGTTTAGTCAAGCAATCGCTTCTGTCATCTTTCATGCAAAAATGCCCCCAAAGTGTCATCTCATTGGGAGTATTTGCTGCTTTTCTTTTTCATATCAATGGTTGAAGGTGCAAGATCAGAGATTGGGAGCATTCCGATGTCCACTCAGCGGCTCTCAACATGTTGATAGTACTAACAGTGTGAACTATGGCCAAAAGGCTGACAGAGCTAACTGTGTTTACCTGAAGGGGGACAGGAGGGTGGGCGCTACATTTCTGTGATGACACTGTGGGCCAGATAGTTTTGGTTTTAGGTTTCAAGCCCAACAAAAATGACCCTGATGATATCAGAGTTACCTTTTCATACTTGGGACAGCTTGTTCTAGAGCCACAGAAGACATTATACAACTGTTTCCACAAGTAAAGTGAACTTCAAACTTCGTGTTTCAAATCAGTGAAGTGCTATTTTAACATTATATTTAACAGTTTTCAAAGCCATACAGGTGTTGGGAACGAAAAGGAGTGTGTTTGAGTTATCAGCATTTAAGAAAACTAAATAATTGAC